GTTAATGTAATTAACAATTATCCAAAAAAAATATTTTGCTGTTGTGACAATTTTTACAAATAAATTATTGATGAATTAAATATCATGTAAATTACTGAACAAGACTTTTAGTAGAATACCTAATATTGGTATTAAATTTAGAATAATAACTGATTGATTTAGAAAAAATAGATTTAGAATTAATTGATAAGGAATTTGGAAAATTATTTAAGGAAGAATCTTGTTCTTCCTCTCTAACAGATAGAATTATGGCAAAAATAGAAAATGCTTCAATTGAAAATTCAATAAAAATTGTGACTAATGAGCAATTTAATAAATTATAATTGAATTTTGAGATTGAAAAATATAAGAATATGTGGAAATAATTAAAAATTGTTGAGAAAAATTACAATTGTAATAATTTATAAAATGTCAAATAATTAATCAATCATATTAGGATGGAATTAGGAAATTGTTAGAGGAGGTAAAAATTAAAAAAATAGAACTTCAATAATTTAGAATGACCAACAACATCGATAAAATGAAAATGATGAAATTTTTATTGATAACAATCTTACTCAGATTTAAGGCAATCAAGAACATGTAAAAGATTTATAAACCATCATCATTATTCTGGAATTATCATCATCAAAAATCAAAAAAGAAAAGCAATTATGTTACTAAATACTTGAAGAAACTAAAATAAACTTCATCTCATTCAGAAATATAGTGAAAATAGATAAACCTAAACATAAAAGAATTTTAATAGTCATTTCTAAAACCAAATTCAAATTTTTGAATAATTGAATGGACAACAGCTAATTTATAAAAAAATGAAAAGAGTCGTTTAAAGATTACTTAAATAGAATAGAACTATATCAAATAAAAAACAAATGTATGTGATTTTCTCAATAATTTAAAGGGAGTATTAAAGTAAAAATTAGTCTAGTCTAAATGTGTGATAGCAAAAATTGAGTTTGATTAAGTATATATGATCTGATAATTTAAAAAAATATACCTCTCTGAAAATTAGGAGGAAGAGTAAGAAGATAAAGATGATGTATAATCCAATCAACAATTAGGATTATTTTAGTCTTTGAATCAAAAGTATAAAGATTATAAAAATAATGACGAATGGAAAATTAAATAGGGACTAGTTTTAACTATAATTTAGATTTCATCGAATTGCTTCTCAGATAGAATTATCTAATTTTTTGTTAATAAATTCTAATTGAATAATGGGTTTTAGAAAAAGATTATAGAGTTAGAAATTTATTAAAAAATGAAAACTTAATAGGTTTGTAAATGTAGATTTTGTAGAAAGATTGGTAGACTAAAAACAATAGAATTGCAGGAGAAATGTAATAAATGCTGAGTCGAATTGATTTGTTGTAAGAATAAATGGTCCAAGAAGCAAATGCAAACAAACGAGAGATATAATTGAAAGAAATGGATGAAATAACTGAGCAATTAGTTGAATATATTCAAAATATTAGCGAAATGGGATAATAGCTTAAATTGATTACAGATTTCGTTAATCATATCAGAAAAGGTTTGACAAGAGTCGAGGGAAAAATTAATGAGATGAAGAAATAAGTAAACAGATTGAGTAATGATATTAAATTTCTAAGAGGAAAATATGTTGAAGAACTTTTTATTATTAGAAAATCGAAAGTATTGAAAGAAGCAGCAAATAACAATGTTGGGTCTATATATGTGCTATTATAAACTTTTGAGATGTTAGAAAAGAAAGATTTCAGATTACTATTGATAATGGACAGTTATGATGAGATGAAGTTAGAAAATATTTAGAAAAACTTGTATATTAATAATAAACTGAAATAGAATTGGTTAAACCCACTTGTTATTTTTACTACAAGAAGTGAAATTTTTACAAGCAGTAATTATTCTCTATGGTTTGAACCTGAAGAGAAGGAAAAGTTAAAAGAAATCAAACTTCTAAAATTTGATTCTAAATAAATGCAATAATATCTAGAAAAATTTACAATATAAAGGGTTAAAATGTTGATTTTTGAAATTTATGAATGGTAAACACAAATTTCAAAAAGAGAAGTGATTGAAATCAAAAAGTTTGAAATTTTTTGGGAAAAATTGTAATAATATCTAAAAAAAGAAATATCAGGAATGAAAGGGGAGAATCTATAGAATTAAAAATGAATAGATCATATTTAATAGTTCTTGGAGGATGATGAGTTTATATCTTTCAAAAATCATGATGCTTTAAGAAGTCTCAGCATAAATCTCCAAAAACTGAGGAGTGTAGAAAAGTACAACAAAATGATAAGCTAAATCAATTTAAATAAATTGGTCATAACTCCTTACATGATGGAAATAGTAGTTTAAGTGTTGCCTGAATTGATGATTAAAGCAATTGAAATAAATAATTTGAAATAAAAATTATAAAGAATTTTCCAAATATGATTACGAAGTTCTACAAAAGTAAATTGTTGATCCAAATTTATCAATAACAAAAGAAAAACCTTTTGTCATTAAACAATAAAGATGAAAATTTTTAGAAAGTTGTATATGATAAAAAGTTTGAAGCTACATTGTTTGATATCAAAAATTTAGAAAAACTAAACTATCTTGAAATTGCTTTCAAATTTTGGGATAAAATAGAAGAAAATTCAACTCTAATAAAAGCCTAAATTTCTTTAGAAAATATTGGATTAAAGACTGAATTATTGAAAATATTTTAACAAAACCCTTAGGAATTAGATTATTTAATAGATGAACTTGCAATTCAAAATGAAAAAAAGAGAGAAGCTGTTATTGAAATAATTATTGATGCTTTAAAAGATTTGAATCTTACAGGTTATGATTTTTATGATGAATTTATAAATTAACATCATTTAAAATAAATAGAAAAATAGAAAAAGTTAGGAAAATCTATAAATGTTGATTTTTTTCTACGTGATTTAAAAAAATATTCAACTAACCTTGCTAAAGCAATGAGCATGAATGAAAAGACTTAAGTATACTATTAACAATAAGGATTATTATATAAGGAATAAAGAGAAAATGAAAAATGGCTTAATGATTTTTTTAATGATGATGATTAATTTGGATCGTATAGAAAAGATATACGAAGTTGTTCTCTAGTCTAATCAAATGGTGCTAACTTTTAATTTACCCATAAATCAATATAAGAGTTCTTAATTGCAGCTGATTTATATGTGGTTTTAGTTCAATCAAAAAATTTTGATACATAAATATTAAATAGAATAATAGAAATTTAGTCAAAAGAAGAGAATCAAAATTAGGATTGCTTAGAGTTTCTAAAAAATATCAATTAAAAATATTCCTAAAATTATAATTAAATTTAAAATTTATCTCCGTTATAAAAATAAAAATAATTAGATGCTTTTGAATAAACTATCAATTAAATCATTCTTTTAATCAAAATCATAATCAAGCATGATTTTCATTTTATTAATTATTCTACTGAAATATACACTGAAACTAGATAATATCTCATTTAAAAAATATAAAAAGAGGTTAAAATAAGTGAATTTTTGAAATTCTTAATACATCTTACAAAAATTGATAAAGATTTTATTATAAGTGGATCTAATGCAATTAATTTATTGGTGGAAATGTAGGTGGATATAACAAACTAAAATTTTGAAAATATAAGAATAGAAAATACTAATTTATTTGGAGGTAATTTTGCTAAATGCAATTTATCAAAGTCTTAATTTAAGAATGTGAATATCAATGGAATAAATTTAAATGGAGCTTAATTATTTGGATGTAATTGGTAATAATTAAAAATAAACGATTTGTATTAATTAGATGGTCATAGTTGTGATGTCAACTCAGTCTGTTTCTCTCCTGATGGAAATACATTAGCTTCTGGTAGTGAAGATAAGTCTATCCTTCTATTATATCAAAAACAAGTATTGTTCAGATTATAGATTTAAAGAAATTTAGATTAAAAATACAAGATATCTTTTTTTAACACCCCTTTGCAGTAAAAGAATATTATTTAAAATTTAGATACATCTAATATTATGGTTTACCCAGACTTCAATTATTCAAGGTTTAAGAGAGTTTTTTAGAAAAAACCGTTCCTTTTTGGAGAATTATTGGAGTAA